CTCGGTCATGTGAACACTGAATACGGCAGCTCTACTAATTGTTTACGCAATTCAAATTGATTTTCAAAAATTATTAATGCGTTAAAGAATTTCAGGCATTAAATCTATTGTGAATTGTACCATAGTGATAGTCAATACTTCCAGATAGGTTACTTGTCGGGTTACTTATCGGATACTTAGAAATAATTGTCCTCGTCTTGCACCAACTTGTCCTCGTCTTTGTTTTATTATTTATTTATTTATTTAATTGCTTTATTTTATTTCTTAAGACCTCGTCAACATTTCCTTTTGAAACAATTGTCCTCGTCCTTGAGTTATTACGTAAGTGGAATCGTGTACAGGCAATTGATTTGTTCAATACATTGCACTAAATTTGCATTTTTCTAAGATATAAAGTTCAAGCATACATGGCAAGTCTCAGTGCGTATTTTTTACCTATAATCTGCAGCTGTTCATTCTGATATGAGCTCGTCTGGCTGTTTTTTTCAGATAATTTCTTAAATTTCTATCGATAAGATGCAAGAGTTTTAGCCTGACCAAATCAATTAAGGAATTATCTTGGTAAAACGAAGACATGGCCGGCAAAAACTCACAAATTTATGATACGATGGTGCAAATAAAAGAATCTTCATTGTCTCCTAAATGCAGATTACTTACTGCTAATTAACCTTGATGCATCTAATCCTGCCCCATTTAACGTTCACATCGCCTGTTGATGGGCACCCTTACAAAGTTCGCACGATGCCTTGCAATTGAAAAAAAAATGATTAAAGTATGACTCTGTTATAAAAGAAATCAAGTGATCATATTGATTCCTCAATTTCGAATGCTAATACATTATGTCAAAAATCTTAACCTGATGCTTTTTTACTACATAAAAGAAAGTATTCATAATAAATCTCATGCGTTTCCTCGAATTGGTCTCTTATGGTATACTACATAGTTTTTTTACGTCACTGTACCTACTTCTTGCGTTGCACTTTTTGAATTTTTAAACTATGCTCCCTCAATTCTTTTCTCTACGTCCATCACTACAGAAAAAATATATATGTATATATTTACAAGAACAGTCAAATAACAATGTTGAAAATGAATGACTTCTTAGTGAAGTTTATTACTTGGAAGTAAATGACAACTATTTTTCTTCACGAGTCGTCTCGTATATAGCCACTGGCCCAGCCCTAGTGTCAAACTCGAAAGCATGGAAGTTCCTAACAGTTTGTCCTTAGTTCGCAGGTGGGTTCGGAGAAGTTTCGATTCGGTGTTAATAATCACAAAATATTATAATAGAACTTGTTTCTATATTGATTGGCATGCAATTGCATGAATGAAACCTGTCCGTTACCATATTGTATGAGAGGTGTGGGCAACATCTTTTCCTTAATAGTTAAATCGGAATAGGTATTTATTTATCATCTAATCTGAAATTTTTTCTATTAAAGCATTTAGAGTCTTAAATACAGAAAAATAAGAAATGCACAAGAAATGCAAGTGTGCATGATAACAAAGACACTCGCAACACTCATATTAACGTGGAGTGAACACTGAACAGCCACCCAGCACACAGTGCCTGGTTGAATCAACGTTGAAACAGCCACCGTTTGAACAACGTTTGTTTGAATCATGTACAATACGGGGACTGAAATTAAAATTAAGGCAACGCCATTCATACAACGTCGTCTTGATGTTAACGGAGAGTTTTGAAATGCTGTTACCTATACAACGTTGCTCTAATATTAAATTTGTTTAAAATTTGCAAAAAAATAAATCACTTTAAATTTGTAAAAATAAATCACTTTGATGAAATTTATTTGACGTTTTTTTCTGAAAATTAAATCAACGTCCTGACTGCATCGTGATTATCATGGTGACATACAACCTGCTTTCATTATCCATTTATTATCGTATCTGACACATTATACTAGCATCGTATTACAAGCCCCTAAAATAAATTGATGAGCGATCGCCTCCTGTAAGCCGCATGCAAAGGCGCATGCAATAATTTGATAGATTAAAATTTGGCTCACATAGAAACGTCCGGACGGACCTCAGACCTCGCGATTGCGTTTAAATAAGAACAATACCGTGACTCAATGTAAATTTTAATCTTTGTACAAGGAAATTTATGCAATCCATCCGCATTCATTTGACTCGACAGGCTGAAAATGTCACACTCAATGCACATAAATTTTCAAGACTGAACTCAATATTTTAAATGCGGTCATAAAATATAGCTTTTAAAGCGTTAATGTTATGAAATTTTCAATTGACCAGGATCATTGAGTTTTATTCTGCATGGCCTTATAGAGATCATGCATTGACGCTCCATCTTTTATTGATTGCCTCTTAAATTTAAACAATTAAACTTATCGGCAACAAAAAGACGTGTTTAAAAGGTTATCATTCACTCCTGGTCGTTGCGTGAGAACCGCTAGTTATCGGAGCTCAGCTGCATAATTATTGTTTCCATATGCGAACCCTCTCGGCGATTATCGCATAAACAGCCTTTGCCAATTCTTGCTTGACTTTTAAATAACGCTTGCCGGTTCAGAACTTCAATTTCAAAATAATATTTTATTCAACATTTGCTTCCATATGTAACGGAATCAGTAAGTGATTATTGCTTTTAATTTGCCGGAATCCTTTCGTGTGATTTGTTCTAAGCATGATGATGATCTATTTTTATTCTATAATGATTTTATAAATAACTCAGTTTTGTGTTATCTTCGCATGCTTAATATGTACTCAATGTATGTAGGAAACGAGGTAACACGTATCGCACGCGTATTTTGGATCATGTTGACGGGTGGTAACAGTGGAAACAATATTGACATGTGGAAACAGGACTGCTCAGAAGTTTGAATATGGAGCATTTTATAGAAATCACCAATGAAGAAATTATCATATCCTGGCCAGTAAGTTAACAACAATCAAAGAGTTTGAAATTATGAAAATATAACCTGAAAATATTTGTGGCCAGTGGTTAAAGTTCAGGGTACCAAGATTGGCGCAGAGAGGTGCGGGTTCGATCCCAGGTCTGTGCGCCAGTTTCAGGTCAGAATCGGCAAGGAGGCCGGGCGGTTAAGCACAGAAAATTGGAAACAGTGAGTTGCGAGTTCAAGCCCGCAATAAACTGTGAATGTTCTGCAATGTTAAGAATAGGCGACGGGCCTATGGCCTAATAAACGCTGAAACCGCTATATTAAGGAAAACTGTCTACCTTTAACCTAATTCTATGTTATTAGGATTCTGATTTCAATACAATCTTGTTATTTAATTATTTGAAAAAAAAGCAAAAGCATGACCCATGATTGTTATATAGTTCAACCATGGCATGGCCATAGTGATGAAAAAACTTTAGCAGAAGCTCATATTTTAATCGTTGAACTTTTCAGGAAATATTTTATGCCTATAACGAAGAACAGGTATATGCTGAATGAGTGCGATATGTTAACGTAGCAACAAACAGAAACCAAATGATGTCGTGAGCCATTTTGCATGAAGATTTTTATTTACCATATATATAATATATATATTTAACTTGTTGGCTAAACGTGTATTGTCCATATCTATTGTAATTAAAACTCTAGTATTTAATGCTTTCAATGTAAATTGATAGATTAGAAATCAATCAAGCATTCCAAACAGAATGTTCAACTGTTTATCGACTGTTAGATAATTTGTTTGCTCCATGAACTTCCATTTTTATATTAAGAGTCAAAATTTGCTCTCATATCAGAGATACAATTGGTCATACTTGATACAGAGATACAATTGGTCATATACAATTGGCGTCACTGTAGCGCAGTGGTCTGCGCGAACCACTCCACTGTATGCGCATGTGGCGTGCGGCACCGAGATGGAGCTAGAGGCGTGGGTTCGAGCCTCGTGAAGCTCTGTTAATTTCTCGGTGTCGCCTCTGGGCGGCGACTGAAAAGTCCCGCCGTCGAATGAGTCGCAGTCGTCTAGGTGGTGCTTTCAGCATGGCCTTGGCTGAATACGGAAACGTTAGGGTGAATACCCTAAACACTCCGGGGAATACCCGGGGGGATCTTAAGGTCTCTCGAGATCTCAAGGTTTTACAGTCAAGATTCAACCGTGGTCGAGAGCGGACGCTCGTGTTTTGCGGTCCCAGATTTTCTACTTTTAACTTTTACTGTGCCGTTTTCGGAACTCTTTTTGCATTTTTTTATGTTCCGTGTCAGTGAATGACTGAATTTTCAGTGAAGTCAGTAAAAGAGAGTGCGAATAGAAAAAAAGCCTATAGTAAAAGTGTTTCCATCTGAAATAACGCGATCTAGAGTCAGCGATGGTCGTCAAGCGAGGGCAACGAGCACTGCCCCGCCAGCGTAGAACAATAGAGCCCTTGTTTTATAGCCAGGCATACCTCCCCTACCCTGAACACCTTTTCAGCCGCTGACTGAGAGTCACTTACTCTCAGGTCTGTAACCAAGTTTTTACAGCACTTTGGAAACTTTACAATTTTTACTCAACTTGATTCAGTTTTAGCTTGTGCTTTTTTTTAGCTCTTGCATTTCATGATGGCTGGTCAGAGAGGAAAAAAATTAAATGAGAAGGCCTCCAGTCCTGTTAAACCGAATTCGAAGATCAAATTGCAAAATGAGCGAGGAGAAATTTGTAAATTTTGCAAGCTGGGATCGCTTAACGTCAATGACGCTACAGTGGCCTGTGATCGTTGCGGGGATACCATCTGCAACAGTTGTGCAAAGTTAAGCAAGACTGACTGCTCGGTTATTCGTAAAAACAAGTCAGTTTGTCTTTGAAAAGTAATATTTGAATGCATATTATTTTCATAATTAGGAAAATTCTAATACTGGGTATTGTGCACAGGCCTGTTTGGAATATCAGGCAGAAGTTTCCTAAAATTGCTAGTAAAATTTCATAGGTGATTTTTGAGAATCTTGGGTAAAAATACTGTTGTCTTCTTTTCTTTACCTACTGTATCACTGTATAACTTAAGATATCTTTCCATCATGTGAGTCAGTAATTGGATGTTTGGAGTTTATTTCTTCATTAATTTTGCAGAAACCTTATGCCTTTTTGCAAAGTGAGAAATAGAAATCTGTATCATAGCGCAACAAGCTTCCATTTTTATACCCTTCTGTATAATAAAGTAAGTCAGTACCGTAAAATGGGGTAACTTAGACCGGCGGGGTAACTTAGACCACTTTTAGTTTTTTTAACAAAAACCCCCACAACTCAAAAACTATTTGACATAGAAAAATTTTGTCAATGGGCATTAAAGGCCTAATACCTGTCTCTTATACACATCTAGATGTGTATAAGAGACAGGTTTATGCACGTGTTACCCCAAATCTCTAATTTTACCCTTAAACAGTCAAACGGCAACAATAAAATTTGTCTCTACTGTAAGTTCAGCACGTGTTAATATACAGTCTGACCGCTTTGACATGACCGCAACTATGCGCGATCTTCAACAAATGTTTTGTTTATTTGTTTACATTACGATGTTTATGTTTTTTCTGCAAGATATTTTTGGCGGAAACGGTAAAGCAATGCGGATTGCGGAAGTTGAAAATTTTATGAAATGACATGTTTGCGAAGTGCAAACTGCGATTTTTTAATCAAACAAATTTATGACATTCGAGCCGCGAGATTTCCTACCTACTGAAATTATATGATATTAGAGCCGCGATATTTCAGACAAAAATAGGACTTTTCCAGACTAGCCTACCGGTGCATCTAGGAGTTCAAGTGGAGGCACTCTGTGCAGATCAATTAACTAGTACTGGTAGCCACTATGCAGAGGGTGGATGCAGCGTTGGCAATATATGGATTTTTAAGCCCAAAGCGTTGCCGGCCATTTTAAAGATGCGTCGCCGGGTAATTTTTAATGAAAAGCCACTTACGCTGAGTTATGACGAACTATTTACAAGCCACGAACTTATTACAAGGTTGCATGCACGTGTTACCCCAAATAACTAATTTTACCCTAAAAACAGTCCGGTTGTACAGCAAGTGTCAACTGAACAAGTAATAAAGCAGTCTGACTGCTCTAATGCAACCGAAACTACATAATCGAAAAAATGTTATTTACATTTTTTGCGGGAACTCATCGCAACTGATTTCCGGACAAGCTTCGCTGCATCATAATCCATCCAACGTACCGGAAACCTTAATTTTTCTCTAAATAGTTGGCTGAAGACTGAGAAATATATTAAATGCAAGAATTTCAATGTAAATGTGTCGGCAAGATCTTCTGAAGGCGAAAATTTTGCCGATAATGTGTCGCCGTAGGTCTTTAAATCTTCGTTCACTCTCTGCACAGTGGACTGGTAGTACTATCCCTACTTTGAAATTTTTGGTTAGCAATTGCTGCAACCCATGCAGTTGCAATGCTCTGACTGAGCAGACTGAGCTGTCAGTCTTTTGCCTACAGTTGCTGTTAAGTGTGGAGCGTGTGGGCGTGGCTACAAGCCTACAGCTTCAACAAATTTCCCTACAGTTGTGGACTATGAAGCTTCATGGACAAGTCTCTGAAGCACCAATAATTGCCAAACAACAGCATGACATCTTAGCAACTTGGCTAATGATTGCTTTATAGCTGCAGACATGCAGACAGCAGATTGTCAATCTTGTATCACTAACCTGAGTCACCTCTTCTCTACTTATTATTATGAAAACAATTCTCTTTAACTTCACTTCTTCTCTGTTTGTTTGTTTGTCTGCTACAAATCTTGTAATCAATACTGAACACACTTTTACCTGTCCAACCCATCTGAAATTTTGAACTTTACATAAAGTTGGATAAAATGCATGAATCAGTTGACAGATTAAATACTTAGAAAAAAATTTTGTACACTGAAAAGAATTGAAATAATACTTTTTTAATATTAAAGAATAAAATAAGAAATTAATTGTACATGTGTCACATGAGAGACACTGGCCCCTGTATATATATATATATATATATTGGTGTAGTTCGGCAAAAGCTTCTCTTTTATGCAAGTTTGATTGAAGACCAGAGCATGCTTTTTATTTACAATCTTCTTGTTCGTCTTTTCAATGAGTCGAACCAAATTTCTAGCTGGAGCCGGGAGATCGAAAAGCAGGTTTCCGAATGACAATTGATTTTATCACCCGGTCTAAGTTACCCCAAGAGCTGGGGTAACAAAGACCATCACTTTTTTTGAAATTACATAAAGACTATGAGAGGCAGGAGCCAACAATTTATGGTGAGTGAAGCTAGAGTATAGACCTGTATTTTGCAGGTTTCAATTCAAGTTTAATTTAGCTAGTAAAAAAATTGCATCATTCATAGAAAAAAAAGTGGTCTAAGTTACCCCATTTTACGGTATCAATGGCTGAAAAAATTGATGATAGTCAAGATGAAGTTTGGATGAGGTACAAAGACAGAAAGGAATGGTCAGATGTGGTACCAATCAAGCAAAATGATGGTCCTACTCCAGTTGTGAAGATAGCTTACTCTGCTGACTGTGAGTAGTGAGCATTGTGAATTATATTTCTGAGTATATAGTACAAAAGGTTCTACATAATTTTATTTTATAGTGTGATGCATCTATATCTTTCTAAATTAATGCATTTTCCTGGTTAAAAGCACTAATTTTTTAGCATCTAATTATACATATATACCTACAGTATTTCAGTTTATATTTTCTTATCTATCACTTCAGAAATATATATTGAATCTTCTTATTAGCATATTTTCTATGAATATTAGTTGCTTCCCAACCCTAACCTATACAAATCTCCTGATAAATTATATATTCCTGCAGTTGAGGATGTTTATGACTACTTCCGTGCTGTGGTGGCTGCCGGAGAGCTATCTATGCGTGCACTTACTCTCACTGAAGATGCTATTCAGATGAATGCAGCCAACTACACCGTCTGGCAGTACAGGTATATATGAAACCATTAACTTTATTCAATTTTTTTATGTTCTATCTATTTTGCGCATTATACTCCCATTGATTTTTAGTTTCATTGGCATGACTTTTGAACTTGATTTCAAATCAAGTTAATATCATCATTTGTGCAAAAAAATTACCTGCTTCATTACAGGATAACTTTCTCTTCTGCTTTAGGTTGTTAGATAGCTGTACTATATGAATATTTCCATCTAGAAATAACCTAGGGCCTGGAGAATCATCTAAAGTTTAATATGTATCACAGTAGTATGTGCATTTCTTTCTCAAGTTTATTTTTTATGCTGCAACATTTACTTGATAGATGGCAACATTGTATTGACAGTTATACACTGGAGTGCTTGGTTTTTTTTCAGTCATCATTGCTGCATTAATTTTTACTGTTGCATTGCTTTTTAATATGCTTCTATTATTTCACTACAGACGACGAATTCTAGAACATCTTAAATGTGATCTTCAAGATGAGCTTCTCTTCTGCCGAGAAATGATTGAAGCCAATCCAAAAAATTATCAAGTTTGGTAAGGTATTCATTCATAAAAAATTTGTTTTATCATATATTTATTTAGTGCCAGACAGGTTGAATTTTTCTTTGATATCTACTAAAATATCTTCAAAATCACTGTGAGCTTCATGTATTTATTGCAACAGAATTAGCTATGATAGTCTGATTAAATCCATAATGGATGCGCAGTCATTTTCTTTGCATTTTGTTCGCCTCAACTTTTATTCAACATAATGTCTACAGTAAATGGCCAGTGTCAAAAAGTAGTGATTGGTAAATAGTTCTGAATGCTAAAATGCTATCATACCTTGGATGCAAAATAAAAATTAACTTCACTACCTCTTAATTTTTGCAGTGTGCTTTAGTTGTGGCAAAATCAACTATGAAAATGGTGACTAAGACATTTTGATTACAGGCATCACCGGCGAGTCATAGTTGGCTGGCTGGGCGATGGCTCCAAGGAACTCCAGCTCACCAAAATAATCTTTGCTCAAGATGCCAAGAATTACCATGCCTGGGAGCATCGCCAGTGGGCACTCAGGACCTTTGGGTGAGGCATTCCCTCACCCCAAGATAATTTCAAGTTGGATAAAAATGGAAGAAATTCGATAACTAATGTACCTTAAAACTTAGTACGAGTGCAATTTCCTTTTGAATTTGAATCGGAGCTTGGATAATTATTCAATTTTTTTCGAAAATTATTGTAAGAAGGCAAAATTATGTACCTGTAAAATGAGTAATTATTGTGAAATACGTTTGTGTGCGTGCAGTTGCTACGAAGGTGAGCTGCAGTTCACAGCGGACTTGCTACGCGAGGATGCGCGCAACAACAGCGCATGGAATCACCGCTACTTCGTGCTCACGCGCACGTCTGGCCTCACGCCTGAGGTGCTGCAATCCGAGCTCGTCTTCACTCAGGAAGCCATTGAAAAGCTCGTCGACAACGAGAGCCCTTGGGCTTACATTAAAGGGTTTGTTATGATCTTTCAGTAATAATGCCAGGGAGCCTCTGGATCATTATGACGAAATTACGTTGATATCATCTTTCACGTTTTTATTTATGAAAGAACCAGGGCCCTCATATTGGCTAATGCCTTGCTCAAATGTGAAAGTTTTGTCTACAATTTAGTCTAGTAATCAGCCAACTTCGTTAATTAATCATACCATGAGTTAGAAAATATATTCTTTGTCTTTCCCTATTGCTTTTATCACGACTGCTGTATGCAGTCGTGATTAAATTCTGTGACGATACATAAGTCGATAGAAAGTCGATACGGTATACAGACATTGTCTGTGGCGATACTATAGCTTCATTTTGATCAAAGTGTCTCTGTTCCTATCTGCCTATTGTTGCCGTGCAGTTTGTTGATGGACACGTCAGGCGATGAAGAGGAAATCGAGAAGAGCTGGTGTACCACAACGGCTTGGTGTTGGAATTTGCTTGCAAAAGCCGTCTCAAAAAATACTATGTCTTCTAACAGCAACGATGGTAGCCCAGATGACAACGGATCAGACGACGTCTGCAATTTTCCATACATTAATGAAAGCTCAAGAAATGCATTTAATGGCCTACCAACTGATACCGAGTGTTCTAATTTGATCGATAAAGTGCCGAGTATAGCAAAGGGCTGCATTAGTCCACATTTGCTAATAGGTCTGTTAGACTGTATCGTGCATCAGCTCGAGAAAACTGAAGACCCCGCGCGTAAGGAAACTCCTCTGAAAATTGCTCTGCAGGTAAGAAATTTGTGAAAGTTATCCAAATACTCCGCTTTTTAACGAAAATATTCTCTCATAATTCGTGTTGTCTTCATTTCCAAATGTGCTGTAAATTAAATTCTTAGTTTATAAGATCGCATCTGTTGATTTCATAACGTACTTAGATTATTGTTGGAGTTTAAAATTTGCCCTCCTTACTGCAGGTTTGCGATACTCTGGCCAAGCAGCATGACTGCATCAGAGTTCGATACTGGAACTACGTGAGACGTCAACTACAACATGAACACAGAAGTAGCTCTGCAAGCGCTTGATCCTCTCCCTGTTTCACTCTAGTTGCAGTGATTATGCTAGAAATGAATACAGAAACCGTTATCAGGATACTTCTGCACCGTGAGATTTCAAAGGCTCATTTTCTGCGTTGTACTCTGAATTCAAACACTTTAATAATAACTTCAGCCGGGTTACAAAATGACAAAGTTGTTGCAATCTTCGTGTTGAAAATGATCTCTCGAGTCCCTTATCTTTCTGAAACTGAGCACCTAGTATTTACATTCGTTTGAATGTTATGTAGTACCTATATAAATTTTTAAAATTTCATATCTACACCCGAAAATCTCTGTCACAATTTGTCCGAATTATTTCTAAGCTTCATTTTGCCTTGTTACTCGATTTCTACTCGTATACATCATCATGTTTTCAATTTAATGAACGGCATATATATATTCCTAAATTCATCACGCAATTAGAAAGGATACGGATTCTTTGCCAACTTCCTCCGGCAATTATTATTCTTCAGGCATCAAGAGCCATCAATATGATAGGTTGAGAATTCATTACATTACTATTGGTTCTCTCAAGACTTTCATCCAATAATCATATGTTCCATGTTTAAGTGATCGGGATAAGAGAATGAAAGATTAAGAACATCTCTTTTTTTATTCTACATAGGACAATTTATTGTTATTGATCACTATCTTTGCTATCCTATCGAAGTACGTATTGTTGCTTCGTCTTAGATCATCTTGATTGGCATGATAATCATGAATATATACAGATGTTAATGTTACAATGCGCCAACGTGTCCGATTACTTTGCTGGTTATCACAGATCAGGAAATTTATATTCACTCATAAAATTAGTTGCAATCTGCTTCATTGCATATTCCATTGAAAAATTGATCTGATACGGTGTATCGTCCCCGATACGGTGTATCGGGGACGGTATATCGGGAACGGTGTATCGGCACGGTGCATCGGTAACTAGTTATGCAACTTCAGTGGCATTACTTCTCTAAAACCTCTCTGCTTCTCTAGTGACATGGATGCTTAACTGATGAAATCCATCCATTTGACCTAAAACGTATTGGCTATTACCCAATTATGGCATTCAATGAAATACCGTAGCGTTAGTCAAACACGAGTCAGGATCCTGGGCAGAGTTCTCAGGTCCTGAATTGTAAAACTCGTCCCAGAACTCCACAATACTATTTTTTCGTGCTTGGATCCAAATCGATCAAACGGCATCATAATAATTGCCCTACAACTGTTACGATTTATTGAAGACTTTGCTCTTAATCTCATTCCAAAGCCCTAACGCGTTCTCGTTGCCTTCGTCTATGAGGAGCGAGAGTAGCTGTTCTGTCTCGCCGTAGTTTAAAGATTCCTTCAGCGCTGCTATCCGCGTCGTCCTCTGTAAACAAAAAAAAATTTACATGACGAAAGTTATAACGTTTATGAACCAGGTTTGAAAGAGAATGATAGGGTCAATAACTATTTTTAGAGTTTTCTCATTCACTCCAGCGCGCATCTAGAGCTAATCAGAACAAGTCCTTGAAACGGTAGACGCAACATTTGTTTAATGAAATGAAACTTCATCAACGATACTTTTTGATCAATGTCGTATTTTAGTCGGATCGACAGGAGTAAACGGATCTCAACTACAATGTACATCACACTTTCACTTGAAGGGGATTGGAGCTTGCAAAGCAAAAATATTAGTATTGAATCGTTCCTATTCACTGAAACAGACGGTAAAACCGAATCAACCGACCTTGATGGCCTCTTTGCACGCCATCAGAAGGAGAGTCGTTAGGTCCTTGTCGTGCCGGTTTTTCTTGTGGTAGTCGAGCATGGTGGTGATGGTGCCTGCGGTGACGAGCTCGTCGATGGTCTCGTCAGCTCCCCCGTTACATATGTTGCTCAGACACCAACTGGCCTCGCGCCCTACTTGCGAAGTCTCTTCGGGCTACATGGGAAACAAATTTGAAACTTAGAAAGTAGATACATAAATGCGAATGTACACAAACAACTATTTCCACCTACACATCATCTTACAACAATAGACGAGTCTGTCAGAGAAATTAAGTTAATCAGAGCTCGAAAACAAAATACAAACATATGTAATTCAACTGCTGACAGAGAAGAGAAATTTGCACCAATTGAGAAATCAATTCAATGAGCAATACAGACAAAAGAAAACAAAATTTATATATATAAAAAGTCTTGGGTTTCACACATCAATTAATTCGTCCAGCAGAAAATCAAACGAGTCTCTCTTCAAGGCTGCACTCACATCATCCAAAATGTAAAGAAGTTCGGCTAGGACGCCAGCGTTCATAGCCTCCTTGATTTGTTCGGCTGTTCCTGCGAGAATGTTCGAGACAGCCCAAGCTGCCTCCTTGCGGATGCCTTCTTCGTCGTCTCTCAGCAAGGCCACGAGCGGTGGGATGGCGCCGGCCTTTACAACTTGCTCAGTCTTAAAATTAGAAGTTTCTAATTTATTAAACGATCGCATCATTGAATGATATATGTTTTGAAAAGCGGAAGTTTTGAATGGAGAGAGGAACTACTCTACCGTAGTATGGATGAAACCAGCAGCTTTGTAAAATTTTGGGATGCTCAATTTAATTAATGAAACTTTTTGAAGTAAGGTAGGAAAGTAATTTATCAAAATCTCTATGTGCTGAAAGAAGAAAGTGATTTTTTTATTTTCATGATAATACCATGCATACATTTAATCAGCATATTAATCACATGATCTGCAAATCTGAATTTCACAAGTTTCTCACATAGCGACGAACGCCAGTAAATTCAAAAGCACGATCAAAATAGCAGTCAGTATATCGTATAGGATTATTATTTAGTATTAAATAATATATGCGTACTGCAGTGTATCACTTTTTTTATTTTCTGTCTATTTTGTTACCGCAATCGTTAGAAAATTACTCTAACCACCATCAACCCCGCCTCGCTGACTTCTATCATCACTTGACATTTACCATTCATTACCTAAATCATCTTATTGATCGAAACACTCACTCGCCACGCCATCATTGCACGCAGAGAGCTTGCACTCATCGATCGCAGCATTCCTTGTTGGTCATCAACAGGCACAACAATGAAATATATTCACCCAGGAACGAAATGAATGCAGAATTTCCAATCTATACCGATCAAGGCTGTGGCCTCTCGGTTGAAGTTATTACCTAATTTAATCATGAATATACAAGATTTCAAGACTCGTACTCTACAGTGATCGCCTTAATGCTGACCAGTTCGTCATCACCGGATACGATGTTGCCGATAATCTTGGCCCCGACTTGCACTAGGCGGTAATCAGCGCTGTCCAAGAAGCTGATGAACGTCGATAGCTCATTGAGCTCCAACACCTGACGAATATGTGCGTCACTGCCGTCGCTGGCAAACTCTATGCCTCGCGCTGCGTCCACTGCACCAAGGAACGTAAAATATTCGTCGGGTGATAGTGAGATTTACAACTTAGATTGGGTAGCAAACTATAGTTTCTTCATAGAGAGCATATTATATTCTTGTTGTGCATAATCTCCCTCTAGGTAGTATTTTATATTCTCTCTATAGATAGTATATTACAGTCTCCCTGTAGAGAGTATATTATATTCTCTCTATACATAGTATATTATTGTCTCGCCAAAATATTGAGGGAAAGCTCTCAAGGAGAGAGGGCTTCAAGGAGGTTTGATGACCTCGACAACTGCGAAGCAATGGATGGGATAAAAAAATCAAGATATCCTAATCCCCTTACTAAAACAGATATCTTAGAAATCAGTGAGGAAACTATCATCCGGTGGTTTTTTATGTGGAAGTCATCATGAACTGATATCAAATGATGTCTCCGTCAACATTAATTGGTCCTCGCGTGTTTCGTTAGCGACAAGGAGCGGATGTTGTTATCATGATTAATTCTGTAACTCACGTTGACAATGTTTTCATCTTAAGACTTCAGTACCGACGTTTGTCATGTGGTAAGTAATACTTATAGCCAGTCATAGGGTATTTTGTCCTCACCTCTGACCGCAGCGTCGTCAGCTTGTAAGTAAGGCTGCAGGGCTTTCAGGCACATAATTCGCTCCTCATCCTTCATACCGACGGGTTTAAATCTTAATAAATTACTCAGAGTCCACGAAATGATGCGTTGAGCCTCCACCTGTTCAACGAGGAAATATAATTTATTGATTTCACTTTCATTGGTGAGAATCAGATGCCGCAAATTATCCTCTTTTTTAAGAGTTTTTCTTACATGCAAGCAGTGAACGAAATATATACGTAGTTCATCAAATAAGGAATAAGGGAAATTGATGGAGAAGTTGACGTGCGTGTGAAACTGGCCATAATACTTCGATTAGCAAATTAAACCTAAGCTCCAATAATGATTTTAGGCTGAGACTTACATTCTTCGGCAAATATAAACTACGAATTTTAATTTTTAGCTTCTGAAATTCGAGATACTATACCAGATAACATTCACGCCAGGTTCACAATTACCCATTCTTAGATGAACCTTCAATTAATTATGTTTTTTAGCTTTTAAAAAGTCTTTGACTGTGAGAGGAGCAGGAAATTTGTAATGAATTTTATTCACTTCAATTCAACAATTCGATACCTGGTAATGGCTTCCAATAATTTTCAAGTTAAATCACTCAGTTATATCACTAAACTAAGTATTATTTTCCCATAAGCATGCATGCATGCATATACCTTAACTTAAAATTATACAACAATCTTCCACAACAGTGACACATTTACCACCGTCTGGCTTTGAATGGCATTCGATTATTAAATTCCTACCGAATAAAACTAACAATTATTCATGTAATAATTTTAATGGCATTCGATTAGTAAATTCCTACCGAATAAAACTAACCATTATTCATATTATAAAACATAACGTTTCAGTAAAATTTTTCACTTCGCTCGTTGCACGTTATCTTTGAATAGCTGTCAACATCCAGAGGTAGCTCTAATGGTAATATTCAACCAAAAATATTAATACAATCAGATTGTATTAATCTGACGAGCTGGCTGAGGATAGGGCCGTCGTGGCAGTACTCACGGACTGGTACCTAAGGACGAGCTGGCTGAGGATAGGGCCGTCGTGGCTGTACTTACGGACTGGTATCTATGGACGAGCTGGTTGAGGATAGGGCCGTCGTGGCAGTACTCACAGACTGGTATCTATGGACGAGCTGGTTGAGGATAGGGCCGTCGTGGCAGTACTCACGGACTGGTACCTATGGACGAGCTGGCTGAGGATAGGGACGACGCCAGCCTCGACGACATAGTCCCTCATGGCAGCGTTGTCGCCGATGATGTTGCTCACCGCCCACACCGCCTGCAACGCCACCTTCTCCAGCCGCGACGACAGCAGGCGCAAAATTCCTGGTAAACCGCCAGCGTCTGCGGGGAATAAAGATAAATTTTAAATGTATGAGGAAGAATAAGATAAATATGCAGGCAAGTCATTAGGTCCTAGAAATATTTGATAAAAGGCTAGAGAAAATAGTTCTTACCGGGTATAAAATTATTAATGCATAAAAAGAACATCCGCGCATGCGACTGAGTATGGATGAACTTCCTGAATAAGACAGGTATGTCATGGAGTAAACTACTCGTCTCGGGATGCTTGACATGAACACAAGAAAAATTCACAAGCATTGAGGCATTTTTTACCCATTGTAGGAAGATTAACCAAGGCAGAATCGAATGGAAAACTTTATACTATCAACCCAAAAAAAGTCAATTGCCACGATCACGGTTATATATATTGTGGGAACATTACTGATAAACCAGCTTAATTTTACTGTCATAATTATATTTTTGTCCGTAATACAGGTGAAAGGATAAAAATGATTAGTGTGCAATGCACTGAGTATGGACGTACAAAAACGTCAAAAGATTGGTCTTGAGGTATTTTCAACATGAATAATAGGAGTCAACTTCAAATGAAAATAAATCTCGACGTCGCACAGTACGGAGACTCACCAATAACGGCCTTGGTGTGTTCGTTTCTACCAGCGGCAATGTTAGTGATCGCCCACAAGCTTTCGAATTGCAGTTCTGGGCTGAAAAAAATGAAAGATTTGTCAATGGCAAATCAAAAACGAAGGTAATGATAATGCGAAATTGTACTCGAGTTTTTGGTGTACGAATATTACGAAGATTTTTTTGAACCCTTTTTAAAACGTTTTTCTTTCGTCTCTGCTGACAATAATGCTAGCATATCTCCACTTATGACCTCATGGAAGAAAGCTGGCATGAGTTTTTGAAAAATTCTGTCAGCAGCGTTGTTTCAAAAATGATATTTATTTGTCAATACTGACAATAGTGCGCATTTATCCTCACTTCGATCCTTATAGAAGAAAGTAAGCCGAGGAGGCAGAAATTTTTTGGATTTTGTGTGCTGCGTTGTTAAAAAATTACGTTCTTTCTTCTATAGTTCTATACTGACAATAATGCTCACGCATCCTTACTTGTGATCCTTATGGAAAAGAGCAAGCAGTAGTGGCAGTATGCCGGCGCGGATATAGCGGTCGACACAATCGTTCTCAGTCTCGGACACGCGCTCTCGGGCCGCTCTTGCGCCCACTAGCTGTGTGCTCTCGCTGCTGCTGCGTAGCTGCTCCAAAATGTCTTGCAACTCACTGTCCTGTCGACGCCAGAACAAAATACATATCCAGATACAATAATATTTGTTTTTATAGGAAGATATGCACAGTAAAAAGATATTCGCTAATTATAAACCTTATGTAAGCGGTCGGTCACGACAGTGACAATAGAAACTGAGCAGTGTGTCTTTTAAATTTTCTTCTCGCAGCAGAGAAGTCACCCCTGCGAGTTGCAGGCTCTTCGATTGTTGCGGTTACTCTGAATCTACAGGCAACGGAGTATAAAAAGTAAATGCGTAAAAAAGCGTTCTGTCAGTTAACCTAAAGAATATTTCAGGTATGAAAAATGATTAATCGACATGTCAATACGACAGAAGGTTTGATCACGTGAAGACGCTGTTCTAATTTGAGAAATAAATTATTTCGATGCCTACGACTTAATAATAACTGCGATACGGATTATTATTTCAATAGATTTTCTGAAGCACAAAATTATGATAAACAAATTCTGTAGGAATTCCGTAAGCGTTCCAAAATTGATTAAGGCACAATCACCTGTAGAATCTCCGGTTCTACTGGCTCGGCTTCCTCAGGTGGTCTTCCTAGATCTTCATAGTCAAGTGTAGAACTGTTATATATCTGAAAATTGTAGAGGAAACATGACATATATTAAAATCACTTCTTTTGATCCTATTTATCAATTCACAAAATATCGTTTGAACTGGTAGCCGATTGATGACTTTTGTACCGAATAGGAAAGAAATTTATATTTCGATATAGTTGATAAATTCTATATTTATGAAAATTTAAGGGGAGCGTCTACCCTAAAATTGAAAATTTTTACTTTTTCGGTTTTCATACTAATTTTAAAGCTGACATTCTGCCCTATCCAACGGTACCACTGCCATCTCTCTACGTTGATTTATGGTTTCACGACATTTCATGAAAGGGGGGCGGGTGGGGGAGTTCTTTAAGTAATTAGATAGGAACTAATTAGCTGGTGAGCTCTTTAAGGGGGTGGAAAGGGGTAAAATCGAAAAATTTCCGAAAACTTTACGAAAAATGCTCCCACACCCGCAAAAATTAGAAATTAAAAAAACGGCTAGGTCGTTTTATAGATAAAGATTTTACGCATCGAATGATATGTGTCTCGATGTCGTAGCTTGAAAATCCTAGGAGGAGATAGATTTCAAAAGTACCCCCTTTTTCGACCGTTTTCTATGAATTTCACGTTTTCTTTCATTTTTTTCAAAAAATTCACAGGAACAAAATGTGAGTTTTTTTTCATTTTACAAATGTGTACCAAGTTTCAGAGTGATCCTTTCGTAAATAGCCGAGATAATTTTTGGGGTAGACGCTCCTCTTAAGGGAAAGAGAACTGAGTATACTGTCAGTAACCTATGCGGCGTGTAAAAAAAACTTTTCTACAGTTCTGAACAGAATCTTTATGGCGCAAATAAGATTGATGAAGTTGAATTTAAGAAACAATGAGAATAAAAAATGTTAAACGCGGATATTAGTGTGATAACTAATGCTGAAGCAGTGTAGAGATTGTCAAACCGAACCTGAGATTTGTCAAAAAGAACTCGTTCGATAAATTCTCTGTTAAAAAGTTGATGAGATCAGTAGTCAAATATAACCGATTATGATGTTATTAAACTACTTCAAACTTGATTAATCAGATTAAGTTATCAATTGGGGCTCTTTCTTGTATAAGGTTCGCGTTTATTGTTGCCGCTGCCGTCGCATTGTACTCCCATACTAATCCTGTCCAGTTCCATTCACGCATTAATGCAAAAAAAAATAGGAAAGTATCCTTGAATAAACTGAAGGGGAATATCACGACACTCACGTTCTCGCTGGGGCTGCCAGGCTTGGGGGTGGAGGCCTCCCCATCGGAGCCTCGTCTGCCGAGGAGGGGGTCGCTGGACCGATGCTTGTCCAGCACGTTTGCCCCCATGTCGGGGGAGGCGCGGCTGGAGAAAAGTGCATTTGTAATTCGTGGCGTTCATGCACGGTTAACAACAATAAGCATTAGACCGAAGCATGTAATGTCATTTTCAATCATAGCCATTCGAGTGAGCAAAGCTTCGTTTCTTTTATTTTATTCCTCTTTCACCAGACAGACAAATTCTTCTGGTAGTGTTATATTCATTTTTCTCATTAGTATGAAAATAGTGCATATAAGTTTTTTAAACTTATATATATGAGCCAAAAGTTCCCCTTTTCAAACTTTCGGAATACTTCACCACCTGAACAGTAGACTCACTTCAATGGCTCGAGTCTGATGCCTTTAGAAGCTGATAAGTTTGGTTCCTTCTGCTGCCGTGTCATTTTGCTGGCGCTGAAGGCAGCGGTGCGCGGCTGATGGACGTTGCTGCGACCCACGGGGGTGCCCGGCTCCAGTGAACGACTGCGCATCGACAGCGTCAAGGCCTCCAGTCTCAGTCTCCTAGCTCGAATGGCCTCCAGCTGTCGACATTACAACTCGTTTGTCAATAAAATTTATGTTTTCTGTCATCAAGGGAGAATTATGGTTCGCAGTTTATTACAGTTTTATTACACACATAGACAACATTACGTCTTGAAACACAAATATTCACGGGGTTGGACCGCTAAAGAGGATTGCAGTTCTATGTGTTAATACGCATTCAAAATTTGCAAATATGGCTGGAAAGATTTGAAATTGAAAATAATCAAATCCTTATTGCGTAATAAAACTATTCCCACATACATTCATTTTAACGGTTTGTCGATAAATAAGCAAACCGTTCAAGCAACCACTAAATTTTTATTCTGTTAACACCAGAATGAACATTATGTCGATTTGTTATCTAAATCTCAAATCGAAATCTTGCATACAAAAAAGGAGGACAAAATGCTGGGACAAGATTTGCGCAGGCGTCACGCGACTAAAGATAGTTGAATAACTATTTTAAAAAATCATTTGCTCGTATACGATTCTTCCGGATAGAATTTCCTCTTCCAGCCTGGACCGCTAGCTATGCTGAATAAATATTAGAAATCGCCATCAAATTTTCACAATCCCATAAAGAATTTTAGCTTTCAAACGATGACGTCTTGTAAAAAGGGTGCATGTTAGTGGCCAGCATGGCCCAATACCATCTTCACTTTTATGTTCCTTCCCGAGCGCAGGCATGATTTAAGGTATATAGAGTAGCCCATGAGGTTAAGTGTTTTGGCCTCAGATATGCTGAGTAATTTAAAAGTTATAAGCGTATTAATATTCCACAATCATCCTTATTCTGCCAAGACTGCACTACCTAAGCACTGCGAGAGATCGATTGAAGTCATTGACTCTCCGGATACATAATTCAAGTCTTTCGACGGAAGCACGGCGCATCAACGAACGTGGTGCGTCGCATATTAACTCATCAGCACCAAAACAAATCCATATTTCATATAGAAAACTATGCAAATAAGAATAATGATTCACGCGACAGTAAAAATTGAAATCGTTTATCTATCATCAACGATACAAAACAAAGGAAATCGACAGGCTATAATGAAATTGACTTAACACAATACGATTTTTTGACATGAGATATCAGACATGAGATTCAAATTCAATGAATAACATTGGTTTTCATTAAATACGATTACGTCCATTAGTGAACAATGTGTATTCGTTCTACTAAACTTTAATCTCATTGAATTCCTATCACTGTTCATTTTCGGCATTCGATATTCATTAATGAAATATTGCCATGCATCACGAAATCATTCTGTAATCCAAAGTTGCTTCTTAATTTAGGGACACAACTGACACTATTGCGTTAATTACCAGCACTGCTAGACATTATGTAGAGTTGAATCTGGATAATGATTACCGCAACACGTTCTATTAATCATCAGCTTATCATGTCGATTGCACTGTTAAAGCATTTAGATCTCAGTAACATGTTCTATAGCCATATTTTTCGAAATTATCGGTATACAACTACGTAGACATCCCACATCCCATCTCGATGCCATCAACGCGATACTTTTCGTAGGCATTTCAGCCCGACCTTGACCTTGAGTATTGTTGGAAACAAAAATGTGCAAGAAAGCCAATTTTCTGAGAAAAGCCATATTAAAATTTTATACTAAAGTTATGTCATTAATAATATTAATGACAATAATATTAATAACCTCGTGCGCATCAAATTTTTATTTTAAAGTATTTTTCACGAACATGCGAGACTCCTGAGAGTCCAACGTAGCCAACAATATTTACATAAACCGAGTTGGACTCATCATTGCGGTTTTGGTGCTCTATTCGAACTCTGTGAATTTGTTGTTCATGCCTATATTCCAGGTTATAAATGAATATAGTAGTATGCCTTAAAGAATGGGTCAAGTTTGGTCAAACGACGATAATAATTTTTGTCTGTTCTTGACTCGTCTGAACTTATATAAATAGACACTTTATTCATTACTTATTGTAAGAATTTTACTATTAAACTGCCAACTTTATTGATACTCACATCCATGTTTATTTCAGAAGACTTTATTTTCGACTTCTTTGGCCTCCGAATCGGAGGCAACGTCAACGGCTCGTACATCATAGAGAACTCCTTTGCTTTTCGATGCCTTCAAGTCGATTAGAAATTCTATTTAAATGCCTATGTCTGGTTCGTCTATATTCTAATTATCTGTCCGTTGTATTTTGCTTATCTGTTACAAAAGGATGACTTCACTCTGCTACTGAAAGTTCCTCCGAGGCATTCAGGTTTTTCAGCTGATTTTTCGGATTGCTTCCTATCCAAAATGAAATCAAAATTATTTTTAATGGTAACTTTAGTATGCTACATGCACCTAAAATGATGATTTCTTATTGATTTTAAATATGTTGAATGTGATGCCTTAGTTATACATAGTTGGTCTGATCACAGCTACACCGGTGAATCAAATAACGCGTGAAACCTTTTTTTTAGGTAAAATATATTAGTTATTATTTGAAGAAGCAATGAATTGTGCAATCGATCTACGTTTTCTCTTACATTAAATTAAATTAATTGTTTCAGAGACTTCCCCAAAACAAAATGACAGCGCAAACATTGTAACCATAAAATGATTAAAGTATCAAGCACAAGTATATGTAAGTGACAATCGTAAATATCTAGCCATTTTCAACACTTGCTGCAGGAAAGCTTATTACTTCTGCTAGAAGTTGAGTTCCGCAATATTTAAAAATAATGATGGAGGCAGCCTTATCGCAGTGCCCTTGATACGGCGGCACGCAACGCCACGAGCCCTCGTGCAACGTGGCGGTGGGCAAGGGCAGCACGAGAGATGTCTTCAATTTGAAATGTGTACCGAGTTGAAGAAAATAAAGAATATGGTTCAGGTATGCTTTAGGAAGTACTTACACTATTTTGTACATTATATTAATGAAAAGTAATATATTATCAACTGAACTGCTACTCAGCCAGTAATTATTACACCAGGTCATTGTTATATTTGCTAAGATTGATGAAGTTGATACGAGGAATTTTCAGTATTGCGATGAATTTCATTCGATTCATTTATTAGAACCCTCAAAAGTTTTTAGCCTCCAAAATTTGATTCAACAAAAACCTGTCCCAAATTGATTCGTCAATACGTTTCTCAGCTCATCATTATTAATTCAGTAATATTTTCAGCATTCATCCGTTATTAGCCTAAGCTGCCTATATGTATCCTTCTGTACAAATCAATCTCATGATATTATGAGTGAATTAATTTTTAGTAACACAGATTTTTTCCGAATTTTATACCGGCTTCCACTGAAACTACTACCGTTACAGAGGCACCAGCACTTGCGAACTTGACCGCAGCCAAACGTACACTGAAATTTCGGGAAAGCAGAAAACCTTTGATCGATGCCGTGAATCAACCAGCGTTGCCTAACAACGAAGGTGTACACATTTGCCAACGCCATCGACACCTGAATAAAACGGAAGGGAAATTGCATTCTTATTCCATGTAGCCAAAAATTACTATGCATGATGATCTATCAGGAACGATTAATGGTAAGAAACAAACGACGAAATTTGGACAGTGATCTTAGAAACTGACGTGTTGACAACACGCCTTTAGTGAAAAATTTTCCCGATCTGTGTGGGATTTTTATAAGAGAGAAGAAGTTATTTGTTCTCCGTTTAGTGCTGTCGCTACAATATTCATAAGCGAAAAATGCCTTCAAGTTTCTTCTGTGATACTCAATAACTGGCCAATAAGTTCAACAGGCGATCCTCCTTATCGTTTGTATAAGCAAGGAAACTATATAGCGCAAATATATCCGAGTTCGAACTGAATTGTGCGAATTTCAATTCCGGATTGAAATTTAGTGCTTTTTAGAAAATATGGTCATTGTGACTAAATGCCAAATGCCATCAAAATTTTTAAGTCATAGGAGAAATAGGAAAGGATAAATGAGATCTCCGATCTTGAGACATTTCAATAACATTTCAGGAAAAAAAATTTTAATGTTGAAATACATGTGTTTGGTGCGCTCAACCGTTGTTAAAGTAAAAAAAATATGAATATCAGTAATAATAAAAGTTCCATTGATGATACTTTTTCTATAAGCTTGCAGTTTATGCAAGTGGATACAACAGGGAAGTATAACAAAGTTATGGCTCAAATTTGCTCGCGAACCCAACCCATATTAAGGTACTTTTAATTTGCATTTGATTGTTGTTGGAGCTGAAATGTGAACGTAAAGAGAACAGCAAATTATAAAGCCTAGGTTATGGAATATATTAACGAATACGATGATTGTTTTCATTAATTCCTTGTACAGGATTTTAAACCTGAATTAAAAACATGCACACGTACAATTTGTTATGAAAAGTTATCGGTACATTAATACATGCTATTGATACTCTTATTATTCAATACATTTCAACACGCTTATAAGTCTTCTATGAGCAAAAGTTTTAAAATTGCTTCCAATTAAAGGTATTACTTCATCGCAAGAGGTTCTCGCGTAAAGTGAACGCACTGAGTAAACTCTATGGCATTCAAGGCAACATTATGTTGCGTTCAGGGTTACGTTTGCACAAAAATTGTATTACGGGGATAAATTTGCAGAAGGTAAGATATTAAAATTACCTTGATCTATTTTGACGTTTTGAATCAAAGGATTTCATTTTTATTAATAACGAGCAGTTTTAGACACTGCGACCAGTGCCTAAACCTTGTAAACTTTATTTATTCGTCGTTCTGCTCTTAATTTCTAATCAATATGCGGATGTGAATTGAAGAAGCACTTTTGTGTTTGGAGTAAACATGTTGTGTTTAGAGCAAATATGTTGTGTTTAGAGTGAACATGTTGTGTTTAGAGTAAACATGCTGTGTTTAGAGTGAACATGTTGTGTTAAGAGTGAACATGTTGTGTTTAGAGTGAATACGTTGAGCCAGCCTTGCCACATCAATAAAATCTACGGTATCTTCAATGCAGCGCCAGGCTTAATTGAATCGTTAAGCACCTGCCACTCGTACGGCGTCTTGAGAATAAAATTTACGTGATGAAGAAAAATTCCCTTAAATCCTTCAGCAAGCTTTACAACATTGGTACCCGAAATCAATATTGCTTTACTTATTATCTTGAGGGTATTCGTATCCATAGTTTTTCAATGCGCTAGCATAGTTGGAAACTCAAACTTTTCGTTGGAAACTCTGTTTTACTCGCACAATTGGAGATGCGTTTGAATCAAACGCCTTCGAAGATCATTCGCGGTAGCAAACGATGGACTTTATAATCCATAGATTAAGCAGCCTACGATTGCCTAATGAATACATAACTTTTTGACACGCAATTGTCGGATCATACGGTAAATTAAATTATTGTTGACGTGACACCCTGACTCATTTCGGACTAGTTATTTTATTGCTATATAGATAACAGTCAATCAATTGTTTGGTCAGGGCGCCTGTTATCATTGCTGACCAGAAATTCTTTCATTTGACAAGTCCGCTAAAGAAATAGTCCTTTCAGAACCTTCTTACCTCGAACCGGGTTATGATGGCACTTTCTGTCCGTGAATTAAGAAAATTACAAGAGAAACAAACATTTTTTACTTTAACTTTTAGAAAATTACAACTGAAACAAATATATTTATTCTATTATACATATGTTACAGTGTAGCTGTAATTAATAGCGCCAAAATAGTTAGGAATATTCAACTATATTCCTATATCGTTAAACAATTTTGTTAGCTCAAAATTTCACACAAAGAAAATTTCATATATTGAACACTGACAGCGCAGAATCACACGTCTCCCCCCACTCTTGCATTTGTGGATCGCTTTCACAGTTAATCTCTTGAAAATTTCTGGCCTTGGGTCTTGAACCTTTGGAATATTTCCCGTATTCCCTGTTCGTCCATTTCATCTTATCGCAAGACGTGTTCAGTATTTTCCACGATCTCTTCGCATTCCTCACGTCCATTATGGGTGTGAATTAGTTGATGCTTAACAATCTGGACCAGAGTGTGGTGAGCGTTTTCTTCTCGGCATGCGGGGTCGATTGATAATTAAGTTTCATAACTTCCACGGCTCTGAAAAGCTTTCCACGAGCGACTGACTTCTGACTCAACATGGTCCTTATCAGCCTCAGGTCCAGAATCATCTTGATAATTTTTTATCATCTCTTCTTATACATCCGTTTTAGAAGGGAGAAACTTTGTTTTCTCATCCGTTTCACTTTTGGCAAAGCCTATGTTTTCTTTGGATTCTTAAATGTTAGGCGTCACAACTGCTTGATTTTTCTGGGCAACAAATCTTTCACGTTCAATTTTTGCTAAAGTTTCTAAACTCACAGGGAACCCAGAAACTAGCCAGGATGTAGTGGCTTCTGACTCAACCAGTCTTCCGTCATCTCGATAGGTAAAATCATCTCGACCATTTTTCATTCCCGCGTCTTGAACATCTATTTCAGTTGGAAGGAAGTTCGTTATGATCGTTTCACTCGTCACAAAACCATTGAATTCCACAGCAGTTTGAGTTCCAGGCGCCACAACTTGATGAGTTCTTGACGGATCAATACCTCGACGTCCTTTCGGTTCGACATATTCTGGTACCTTCTCTTTCCGTGTTCCTGGTAAGGAAGATTTTCTCGCATCAAATTTCCTCGGCACTGTCTGTGGTTTGTCAACACCGAGTTGATCCCAAATTTGAAGTTCGTTCGCCGTCTCAAGAGTGTAGTGCACCAGATGTGGACAACGGCTCCGAGTCACCACCTGCAAAGCTTAAGGATAGGGTCGTCTTCGACTAGACGCCCTCCAGCTGCTTGAAATCTTCGGCTTGCTCTTCATTTTTGCACACTGGTCCTGGCGCATTATATTGAGATTCTTCGTGATTTTATTTTCAGCAATGTTCTACTCGACTCTTACAGGCAATGAAAGTATCTTAGATACACAAAACTACGAAATAAAGTGAAAGTAAATTATGTTAAAAATTTGAATTTAAATTGTAACTTGCAAGTAAATTGATTTGCACTAACTCGACAGATAATTTCACCCTCCTATGTAGGACTTGCATTATCAGAAAAATCATTCATTTTATCAATGATGGATTGAATTGGTACGCAATTGGACAAATCAATTCTATCAATAGCATTGTTATGTTTGCAAACATGGCATATTCAAATTTCAATGCGCTAAGCATATATTAATTATTATGTCAGCAGCTCGGTAGACATGCTACATCGCTACCGGCTTGATTCGAGTTAAGCATTCGCGCCTTTAAACGACAAATTTTGCCATCAAGTAATTTGTACGGATAGACTTATTAGTACAAATAATTGAATATTAATTAAAAACGTTGAAACATTCACATATTCACGTAATTGAATATGCAAGTTTGATTGAAGACCAGAGCATGCTTCTTATTAATAATCTTCTTATTCGTCTTTTCAATGACTCGAACTAAGTTTCTAGCTGGCGCCGAGAAACGTTGCATTCTATTAAAATGTCTTTTGGTAACCTACTGTTTGATCTACCGGCGCCAGCTAGAAACTTAGTTCGAGTCATTGAAAAGACGAATAAGAAGATTATTAATAAGAAGCATGCTCTGGTCTTCAATCAAACTTGCATAAAAGAAAAGCTTCTGCCGAATTATACCGATTTTCGTAATTGAATATGTGAATAAATTTTTAAATTCAAATATACTCGGCGAGATCATCGTGCAATGTGGTATTTGGCTTCGCTTTGGTTGAAATGAGGTGTCGTTATTATCGGTAAGTAAAATCAGTTATAACGCAAGTAAAATTATTACTCACATTATCTATTTTCACTGAAGAATATCTTTTATATACAAGATTAACGTAAACATTAATTTTGAATTTATATATTATAAAAAATATTCCAACTTAATTACACACAAAGGCAAGCCCGAGCACAGCTCAAACAAAAACACGAAGCATTTGTTCAGCTCAGGTCATTAAAATAAGCAATACTCAGTACTCACTGCAGTGGGTGACAGAGAGCGCATTTTCTCGTCGACCAAAACGTGAAGTCACGGACAGACGGACAGACAGACGGTCATGACAAGCACAATAGTGCCTTTTTTTCATAAAAGAGAAAATGCGCTAAAAAGCAATACAAAATATTCTCGGGTAATGCCAACTAAACCGGACACTGATTTGCCTAGGGAAACAAACGACTTGGGCTTATAAGAGCCCACATCAAAGGCCTCGGTTGACATCCTACAGTACGCGTACATTGACATTTACAAAGTAGCTATGTCATGAATCGAATTTTCAACTCTTGATAATTTATGGATTTTAGAATTCCAATAGGCTTTCAGAAGCCTTGTTTTAAAGCCACACTCAATCAGTTTTTATCCTCTTTAAATTATATATTAAAAATTGTAAATTAAAGTGGCCTATTTTCATGTGGTTATTTCATGTTAATTTGGTTAATTTGGTTCATTTATAAATTTGGAGTTTAGTTCCATTGTCATTACTTTCAAATTATTGTTCCATTTTCATTTGTTTAACTGAAACGGTAGAGTTCATTCTCTTTTCACTACAGGAAAATGTATGCATCAATGAATTTAAGCACGGATAATTCTTCAATAATGATTAATGAACTCGCAAGAATTCAATCTGAAGTCTTTACTCTGCATGTGCACAATCCCATGAACGTGAAAAGTATCATTTTCATAATGTGGTTCCATAACGAAAGTTGCGAACGCGTTTTAAATTGTAGAATAAAGTTTTGCTATAACTATGACGTCATGAATTTCCGGAGACCAGTAATCGAATTCAATATTGCCGTATCCCGCGTAGTATTTTATCTATCGAGTACTTCCAGCAACAGTAATCTGCCCAACTCCCGGGCTGCAAAGAATGTTGCAGTAATCCCTTTATTAATTTCTGTCACATAGCCTATCTTAAGGATGACTCATCATCAATAAGAAACGTGAAATAATTATCAACTTGCGTCTCATTTCAAGCTAAATTTAAAGAAAATTTTTCAAGATGGCATAAGAAAAGAAACTGAGAATAATTTTCTATCATTTATTTATGTTAGATTAAAACAACAGGGAAAGTACACAAGGATGATATCGATGCCTGTCCAGCTTATCATTTACTCCTTATTTGTGTTCAACAATTTAGAACTCTTGGAATACATTTGCGACTTTTAGGAAAAAGTCACAGTTACTTCCAGAGCTTAGACAAGAAACCTCCAACTGTGCTTGGTTTACTTGAGGGGCTCACATAGTCACTGTAACCGATGTCCACAACAACGCTTTCTGGCGCTCTCTTCGGCTCTCCCGACTTATGAGCTGCCGAAAATATTTCTTGTCGGCTCCCAGGCAGCTCGTTCAAACCATTCTCTGCACGCGGTGTCAGTAGATACGGATAATAATCCACATCGAATTGATAATTTAAATTTGGCTGGGTAATAGAAGAATGAAACGAGTTGCTACTATTCCGTGGCAGACGTGAAGCTGTTGTCGATGAGTTAAGTGCTGGTGTAGCGTATGAAGAAGCTACAGGTGCGTAGGGTGATGTTGTAGGGTGGGTCGAAGACCCGTGATCAGTAGTAGTAATAGTGGGATACCGAACATGTGAGATACAAAAGTCATTGTCTGAGGCATGACATTTATTTGTTTGCCCGTGCATGAGCTTATACTGGGTCTCGGGGCCAGAGACAACGGAATTAGAGGCCTCTTGATACGCTGGCATATACCCAGTGGCGAAGTCGTAACTCGAAGGAAGCGCTTCATTTGAGTTTGAAGAAGGAATAAATTCAGTGGTATTATGGGTTATTGAGTGGATGTTTGATGCAATGGTCCGAGCGATATTTCCAGAAGATGGATCGCACATTCTAGAATCACATGAAGCATCATCGTGCGCGATCCCATTGCGCGATGGAAGACAAGTCTCCGAATTCAGACGTTTTTCGGTAGTGGTGCAGGAAATAGAGCAATATGGGGCGAATTGTTCCTGTGTTTTTGCCACAGGCGGGAAATATTTTGATGCAGAACCAATGGTGATTGAAGAAGTTTTCGTCGGTGGAGAGTCAGATAAATTATTTAAGTTACTAAAATGCGCAGAATTAGCCTTGACTTTTGGAAGTTCGTCTGAGCCTGATGGATCATCCCAAAAATTCGCAGCAGCACTCGCCGACAAGAAATATGGTGTAGAGCCACAGCCCGTGTAGCAGACTGATGAGGATTGAGGTAGATTTTCAGAGGACTCTGATGGAGCACGTGAAGGCGAGGTTGGAGGCTCGACTCTTAAAGAGTCATTGTGAGCAGTCACGGGGGAATAGTTTCTCCCCAGACTGGGATACATTTCTTCCTGCTCGCATGCTGATTCAAGGTCGGCACTCTCACTATTGGAGTTTGCAATAATCGAGGAACAGCTGGAAGTATCAAAAGCATAACCGTAACCCGAGTTAAAACCGACCAATGAGGAACTTCGGGCTATCAAATATTTTTGGAGGGCTTGGAGTGTCGCAAACTGCAGTTGATTTCCGGAGAAGAAAGACTCTCTTGCAACACTCGACGGTGAGGTTGGAGGCTCTACTATTAAAGATTCACTCTTAGACTTGGTGGGGGAAGGCCGAAACAGTGCATTAGGATACATTTCTTCCTGCTCGCGTGAATATTGAAGGTCGGCACTCTCGGTACAGTTGCTTGATGCATTAGAGACAATGCTTCTCGTGTCAGAAGCATCATGACGAGCTGCAGCGATAAAATTATTGATAGCATCATATTTGTCGAGTGGCTGTTCATAATGTTGCTGGAAATACTCTGTATTGTATTCTATAGAATCTAAGTTATGAGAATCCAGTCCAGCGGACTTCATGCCAATAGCTTTTTCAGATTCCGCTTCTTCGGTATTCTTTGAATCTTCAATTCCTCCGACGGCTGTCTTTTTCATCTCGGAATATTTGGTTGGCTGTTGTAGTTCTTCGTCGTCCTGCGTCATCAACGTCTGATGTTGACACTGTCGAAAGAGCAGACTTGCCGTATTAAACGGAACTCCTAGAACAGTGTTTTTAGGTAACGAGTTGACATCTACGTAACGAGGCACAACGATTTTTTGGCTTCTTTTGTATGTAATGCTGTATGGGCTGGGTTTTATTTCTTTCCTGGGGGAAAGAATGGCTTCATGCATGCTCTCACACGTTTTGATATCTTTTCGCTCTCTTGCTGGAGAAGAACAAACTTTCCTCTCCTCGTTTGGTTCATAGTCCTTGTGCTTTGTTTTGAGCAATTCGAGAAGATCGGCCGGCGGTGGATTTTCTTCATCGTACCCAAGCTTTGCTAATTCTTTTTCCAGGTATTGGTATTGCGACCAGTTTGTGGAGTATATCGGACGCGCTGTCCTGCTGCTGTGGACGACAGGCAAAGAAATCGTATTCACACTCGTTGGTTGACACTCATTTTCATAGTGAACCGTGGTGGACGTCATTTTGTCTCGTCTCTTTCCTGAAACAAATAATTACATTTTATTAAATCGGACATAATTAACGAAATAAAATACCATTACAGTCTGAATAACTTGGTCACAAAATCAAAGGAAACTTTTCGTGTAGTTCTAATGAGTGGGTAATAATAGAATTATGTTTGCTGGAATTATTTCTGCGACTGATACCAGTAGGAAATTATTTCAAAGTGCGTAACCAAGTGGAATCCAAACCAACGTAACCGTATCACAGAAACAAATTTTCGGGGAGAATTTGCGAATAATCATTCTCGGTCATCCCCAATCTCGGTCATCCCCAATCTCGGTCATCCCCAATCTCGGTCATCCCCAATCTCGGTCATCCCCAATCTCGGTCATCCCCAATCTCGATCATCCCCAATCTCGGTCATCCCAAATCTCCCGTCATACCAAATCTCCCGTCATACCAAATCTCCCGTCATACCAAATCTCCCGTCATACCAAATCTCCCGTCATAAATCTCCCGTCACCCCAAATCTCCCGTCACCCCAAATCTCCCGTCATCCCGAATCTCCCGCCATCCCGAATCCCGTTGATAATCTCGAAACTAATGTATGGTAATTAAAGGAAGTACCGTTGCAGCACACATTTAGGATAGAACTACTATTTAACCCAGCCCTTTTTCTAAAATTTAGAGGAAACTTCAAATTTTATTGTAAAGAAATTACACGTACACAACTTAAATTATATTCAAATTTTCTAATGCAGCCTTCACCTTCAGTTCTCAATGCCTCATATTGAAAAAAATCACATAACCAAAAAATTACACTACCGAAGCTTTAACTATTTAAATATTCTAATCCAAGCAAACCACTCATTTCTAAATAGCTCGATCACAATTGAAAAAAAAAATGTTATGTTCAAGTAACATCTCGAGACACAAAAAGTATCGGACACTTTATCCGAAATTTACCCTTCCGAACAGTCGCAATATTTTTTTTTGGAAATTTGAAGTTCCGGATACAAAATTGAAACTAGTTTTGCTCTATTCTACTTGGTCATGAATCCAATTAACCTTTTCATTGTTTTACAAACATTTTTGTTTCGAAGCATTATTGATCTAAATTAAATAGAGACACATTTCGAAATCATAAAATAAATTATTTTGCTGCAGTTTAGGGCCCCATCATTTCTATTACATTCGCTTGCAGTTTTCAATGATGATTCTATGAAGTTTAATCCTGGTCTCTAAACGAGAATCTGTTCCTAGAAAATTCGTGTAAAACTGAGTCGAACCTGGGAATACATACAAATGAGGTTACTTAATGAAGCCTTGTATGATTACCGTCAATTAATGAATTTAGAGTGAACAAGAAAGGTACGGTATACGCATTATGCATGCTTTGCTTCAATGGGACTAAACCGAAGATTCTTAATCGCGGTGAAATTGAGTTACTATTTAGAAGAATCAGTTTAAAATTTTCTATCCAAACAGAAACATTTTATTACACATTTAGTTACACAAACGAAAATATTTTTAATTCAATCAACTCGTTCATCCAAATATTTATTCTTTCCCTCGATTCTTCAGTTAAGTACTGCATAAGTATTATGAGGAACTAAATTAATTTGATAGAACCTTCTGATAGTCTGAGCTGGTACACTGGAACTGCAGCCAATAATATGAAAAGAAGGCACTATTTAACTGGATTTAATGCTGTCGATCTTTATAGCAATATGATGATTTTTCCGGCATAGGGAGAAAATAAAAAGCGATTCAAATAATTTCAGGCCTCGGATCAAAATTAAGCCAAGTCCACATAAAAATCGGCCAAGTGCCACGATTATTATTAATTCATACCAAAATCAAATTTCCCTTAACTAGCTATAAATCATGGAACGAGAAAACAAATTATAGATCTTACTGATTATGCCACCCCAGTTCCTCGATTTACATTCACATTGATGCACACCATGTTACAGAACTAATAACAACTATCGCAGCACAAACGACTCACTGAAAATGCGTCAGTCCAGAATGTTCTTGAAGCTCGAGCGCCGAAGTTACAGGTTATGAACAAAAGTCTTCAGAATTTTCAGAAGTGGTTTGGTCGTTCACTAGATTAAACTTTGAAGGGAGCGAGCTGCTAACGTTCCACGTGGAAGCCAGACTCCATCTGCTGATATGAGTTCGTTTCAGGTCTCTTGTAAACAAATTCTTTACCCGAAGGTTCAGGTGAAACAAAAAAATATTAGAAACGGTCAGTTTACTGTAGAGGTTCCATCACTCACCACATCAGCTGGGCAGAATTGGAAATTATCCTAATCTCCGTGACCGAAATCTAATCTTCGTGCCCAAAGTCTTCTCTGTTCTTATTCTTATCAAAAAAAATTGGATGTTTGTCCCATAGGTCGCAGGCGTATCGAATCGTTTCGACTTGGAGAAAGCATGCGTTTTACGGCAGAATCCAATGAAAAGAAATATTTCAAACTATTGAATGAAGGTGCATTTGTGCTACACAATATTTAACAAAGTGTTACTTCGTGATGATATAAATATACCTTAATAAATTAAAATGATACAAATGAATGTAATGCAGTGTAGAGTCATTCTCTGGATCAATTCATTCGTAACAATGTCAACGCCACACTGAAGTAAAATATTACGAATGTAATCTTTACCTATATTTAGAGTAGTGCTCTTCATGAAGAGATGTTCGTCTAACTCTAACAGCATGTCACTTTTATTAGAAAAATTGTGAAGTTTAGTTTTTTCAGCTGTCTAATATTAATGATAACATAATCAATAATTAATTTGTTAAAAAAGGCCGACGAGCCTTAACGTGGGTCTAATCTACACAAAATTTTTTCAATGACTGATCAATCTGTCCGTAATTTTGTACACATTTGTAAAACACATACAAGCACATATTGTTCGTATGAATTTTTTTAGGGAGTGAAGGAAAACGTGATGTGTACAGAAAACGGGAAATAAGGATTTCTTTTAAATTTTTTTCTCGTCTTTTGATGTACGGGCTACAACATCGATAAACATACAATTCGATTTGTGAAGCAAATATCTGGCGACTCTAGAAGCCATTTGTCTACTTTCGCTTCTACATTTTTCTAGAGGAATTTCTTACTTCCCCCCTTCCAATTTTCCTTAGTTTCTACAAAAAATAATCCAAACAAAAAATAAATCAGAAAAAATGGCTTCTAGAGTCGCTAGATATCTATAAATCGAATGCTATACGTTTCTCGATGTTGTAGCTCGTGAATCGAGAAATAGATTCTCAAGATCACGTAGCATGGAAAAGTCAGGTGTTCAGACGAGGCAAACGACTGAACCAGAAAGAAGTAAAAGATTTATACAAATGCTTAGAGCTGCACCCCCAGCTTTCCCACCTACCAATGCTCGTATTGAGGATACAATCATGCACCGCATGACTTATTGCAGTTCAATAACAATCTATTAATCAAGTATTTCTAAAGAAATCTTGGTGCTAATTATGAAAAATATTCTATTTTTACGCGTCAGAAACTGCCTACCTAAAGCACACACATACAAACGGTTTGCTGCGTTATACGCGCCTATTTCACAGCTACTAAAGAAGATCAGCGGGCGAATAAGAAATTTTTTCACTTTTTGGGAAGGACTCCTCTTAAAATTAAGAATCGAGTAAGAAATTATTCCAGTTATTCGCTTAGGATAACTTTCGATTATATGTCAGCTGGTGGTGTGGTTGACAGAATCGGTACGGTAAAGTCACTGTTCATCATGAATATTCAGGTAAGAGTTCACTCTGTATATCCTCTGCATATACTCTGTACGAGTATATATAGAGGATATCAAATACTCTTTATACTCCTAATTTTATAATTAGTGTTTAAATATCACCTATCAGCGTGACGAAAATCTCTCTTTCGTTGGACCCACGCAAAATTTCGTAACCATCGATAAGAAGTTTCGTATCACTCCATAGAATTAATCATAAAGTTTGGTTATACCTAAAAACAAATTAATTAAAATTCAAGTTTTACGTCTGATATAACTTCTTTGCTAAACGCGAATCTTTACAACGATAATTGTCTCGCATGAAATGGTATCGTTGAAACAAACTTATAATAAATTTAAAGCAAAGAAATCGCCGAGTAAATTCATTATATCTTCAAAAGATAAGAATATGAGGAATTCACATGGCGTTATTTGTTCTTCGAATTGTTGGTGAACCTGTGATTCAAGCAGACTAATGATAAAGTGCTAGAAAAAAATTGAACTGCACAGCCATGCCCGTGAATGTCTGGCATCCCACCCAGTAATTTCGCTCGAACATCTTTGTTCAAACTACGTCGAAAGAAAAGTGACTTATATTGCCCGCAGTGACGTATATTGCCTGCAGTGACGTATATTGCCCGCAGTGACGTACAATGCCTGCAGTGACGTATATTGCCTGCAGTGACGTATATTGCCTGCAGTGACGTACAATGCCTGCAGTGACGTACAATGCCTGCAGTGACGTATATTGCCAGCAAAAATGTCTATTGCATTACGACTACAGCAGAAATGAAATGATTGCTCCCTCCTACTGTCCAATCTTATGAAAAACTTTTGCTACATAAACGGCAAAAACAATAGTTTAATTAAAATCTAAGACGTGAACATGAGGAGAATGATCGTACATTCAACAATTCAATTTACGGCAATTCGAGTTGCCTGTTATAACCTCACCTTTAAATCTCAAGTCAGTTATTTCTAAGTCCTTAACTTTTAGATAAAATATTTAACAATATTCTAAAACAAGTTTAAAACGGAACAGCTGAAGATGCCTTCAATGATACTTAAGACTGATATAGTAAGCAACGGGATTTGAAATGCCGGAACTTCGATCATTTTTATTCTTCCACTGACAGAAAAGACATCAAGGAATCAACGTACAACATTAATACGAATTAATTACGTAAATTATTAATTAATTGAAATTTTTCGCTATGACTACCAATATTATTTAACAAAATAATTGTTTGATTTCATTTTAATGCATTTGTAGCAATTCTAATTCGTTCGTTTAACACATTTGTACTAATTGCCACATATATCATATTTAAATAGTTATGCATAAATTATCATGGACGATGAATCTTGTCAGGAAATACTGAAGTGTAGGTGGAGGAAGGATGAAAGATGTGATGAACGAAAATGATATCCTCGGCACTTATAGTCGTGCATGTAAATATGCATCGTGGAATGACAGGTCGATGATAAACAATTTGATTTAATTTCTAAAAAATACACGGAAAGCATCTCGAACTTCATTTTTGTTTAAATAATGTATAGAGATATATATTATACATTGAAATATTTATAATATGTATTGATTAATTGCTGTTTAATACCGATAAATACACTAACACTATGGATAACATGCTTCTTCTGAAATTAGTTTAATTTTACGAATAACCGCACTTGACGCTATTGTTTTTATTATATTTATAATTATAAAAATAATAATAATTATTATCATTATTATCATCACCACGTCAGGAGCAACAGAACTTTGAGTGCGCGTTACGTATTAAAAAACTAAGATTAAGTTTAATTACTGGAATTAATTTGAAGCTCATAAGCTTTTGATTAATTCTTTAGACTTAGATTTTACGGCTTAACATCCCCCAGTCATGGCTTTAAAATTCGGTAGGAAGCCATACATGTGTAATATTTAATAAAGCTAAATATAATATAATATATTTAAAATAATAATACATAATATTGATAATAATATATTATATTGCCTAATATCATAATGCATTATATATATGATATTCCTATGAAACGAAATGAGCTCATATTCTTCGTTCAAAGTTCGACGACCTCGCGCCCTTGAATTCAGCCATGTTGTTTCCCTCGGAATCTTCCCATCCCTCGGATCATTTGTCAGCGTCCGACGAGGCTTTAGAACGGGAGTGAGGGAACGCATCTCTCTGGCAAGTCGATCAGAGCTTCGGCTTTCCTCTACCGCAAGTTTGTTGTGATCTTATATGAGTTGTGTGACTTTCCGTGAATAGGTTGTCAGAAATACACACATTAACTCAGGATTTTATCCCTTTGAGGATAAAGGATGCATTCCGACGAATTTTATTTTCATTTTTGGAGCATTTTCTCATTTATATGGAAAAAATGCGCTATTGTGCTCGCCATGTCCGTCCGTCTGTCTGTCTGTCCGTGACTTCACGTTTTCGTCGACGAGAAAATTCGCTCTCTTTCACTCACTGCAGTGGGTACTGAGTTATATTTTTTGTTAATTGGAAGACCGTGTTTCACTTCCTTGATCAAGTTAATTTATCGATACGGGCTTTGGGTTTTGTAGGCGCCTACATTGCTATCTGAAGAATGAAGTATCTCATGAATCATGATATTCTGCACACTATGAATTCTTCAAATGTTAAGATAATTGTAAAGATTCAAATATAAATGAATAAAATTATGATAAAATTCTGAGACGCTAAAAATTTTTAAAAGTTATAATTTGATGATTACGATGATGCTTAAATGTTTTTTTTATTTGCTTTGAATCGCTGCTGCAACGAAGTAAAATGTATTTGCCACCAAATACCTTTGATGAATATATACCATTGAATAAGAAATTAACGCAGCCTTAACTTAGAGGATAATTGTTTTGTGAGTAAATGAGATTAATAATATCACCACGAATAACTGTGTATATAAGTTTGATAAATGATTAATTATCCATGCGATCAGATCATTAATTTGTTCAGGGAGAAAAAGGTTTTCAAGTTTACAGAAACCATGTAAAAAACTATACGTCAACTTTAAGAAAATCATTCAGAATTTAACAAATTAGCTCATTTGAAGTCATACGTACCATTTTCACATGAATATAGTCTGGAAATTTAAAGTAAATACGAAGTCAGGTCATAATTATTATAAGAAGCTTAAATTATAATCCTAAAGGGAATTAATATAAAGTGTATGAATAGAACCATTTATAATGAGTGTTCAGCATTAACCGCGTGCACACTGTTAGAAGGTATATATAGAGCATCACTAATCAGGTTAAAGGATCACACAGCGGGCGGCGCGGTGCCCTGTTTGGTGAGGGTCGTCAAGCAACGGCTTCGCTTGACCTCCACTCGCGCGACTTCACTGCCGTTACCGCCGAGCTTCACTGATTGGGAATTACCGTCGAGATATCGACCACTGAACTGCAAGCCGTCACCGCTGAACGCACCTAACTGAGAATTGTTGTCAAGTTTTCGACCACTCAACTGCAAGCCGTCACCGCTGAACGTACCTAACTGGGAAATGCCGTCGAGATAGCGACCACTAAACGGGCGGCCGTCACCGCTGAACGTACTTAACTGGGAATTACCGTCGAGATATCGACCACTCAACTGCAAGCCAACGTACCTAACTGGGAATTACCGTCGAGATATCGAGCAAGGAAACGCATTTGATTGCTTTGCCATTATTCTCCTTTTATTCACCTTTACGATAAACCTAATACGTTCATTTGCCGATATTAAAGTGTCTAAAATTTGTTTTCATATATTTACAAAATTTACGCACACACTTCCATCGCTTACCAACAGTAATTATAAATACCATATATTTCCATAATTCAACCCTGAATGCACATTTGAGAAAAACTAAACTAAACGTCTGATACCCTTTAAATATTTTTAAGCCAGACTGGTACTATTTGATAAATTTAAATACAAAACGAAGTCACTTGCAACTTCTCAACGCAATCGGACAATCGATTATCTTAAAGCAATCTTTGAAGATTGAAATTCAAGCCCTTCACCTGAGTTCTATCAGCTATGAAGGTCAAATGTTTGAGAAATTTGGCTCTGATAATAAATATTTTTTTATATACAATATCTACTGAAAAATAGGGACTTTTTTAAATCCAGGGAGTATAGATCCTTTTTGAAACCCAAGGAAGTTTACGAAATGATCAACGATTAACGTGATTAATGATTATCGTTAATGACGTGATAACGTGATTAAACTCCACTGATAAAAACATTATTATCAGAAATGGGGGAAATGAAAATTATCACAACCGTGACATATACAAGACACTAAATACATGAATATATTCGGCTGAATTTAGAGCACAACTCAAACGATTTTTTGCTGAGGCATTCCTGAAACGTATGAATAACCGCTATTTGATTTAATGTGCAGGATTAAATTGGCGCTTGTCGTGTAGGATGGTAAAACATAAAAGTACAGAGTCACGTTTTCCATGCATGTTAAAAGAGACAATTTTACAATAAACTTTTTAGCGCATTTTCTCATTTATGGAAAAAATGCACTATTGTGCTCGCCATGTCCGTCTGTCTGCCTGTCCGTCTGTCCGTCCTTCCGTGACCTCAAGATTTCGTCGACGAGAAAATGCGCTCTCTTTCACTCACTGCAGTGAGTACTGAGTTATATTTTTTTCCTCTTTCCTCTGCACCTGCCCAGAAAAAAGCAAGCGCTGCAGAAAATCTCGCTGTTGTCTCGGCTGAACTCTCTTCACCGCCTCAGTGTCCCTCTGACTGTCGTGTTGAGTGTCACGCCAGAGTGGCGCTCTGCCAACCTGAATGTGGTGCTAAATAAAGAGAGCCACTTATTTTAGTCATGCAGAAAATATATTTAATTAAGGGTCTCTTGTGGTTTAGTTACACGATAATGTTTATATTAACAGTGATTATTCAATTATTCATGAATTTCTAAAATATTTTTTATTAAAGTTTTGATTGAATTTTAATTTATTCCTATATATGATAAAATAATGTGTTAGAAGAAATATATGCATTAAATATGTATTATCTAATTAATAAATTTGTTAATTCGTCAAAAATCACGGGATAATTTATTTTACAAATGCTTCGTGAAAATTTTCGAATTTCAAATTTTTATTTTGGTTAACAAATATTTTAAAGAGATCTCTTCCACGCCATGATGAACAGTCCGTATCATTTGTGAGTTCATTTCTACGCGGAGAAACTTTATTTTGTTATTCATGCAATTTTTATTTATATTATTTGTAAGAATTATTAATTAACTATGGAGCTGCGGGAGTGTTTACGTTGGTTACCGCGCCGTGTCGCCAACGCGTCTCGATGGTCGCGAGCTTGCAAATAATATAAAAATATGAATCTTTGTAATAATTTAAAGATAACCATTATTATTATTATTATTGTTATTATTATTATTTTTATTATTATTATTATTAATGTTTTAGTGCATCAACTGATTGCTATTCACTGACATTGTGTGGAACACTGCAATCATCGCAGAACTTTAGAACGAACGATGTAATAATGTTCAAGTACCTGTACAGTTGTGGAGTTGGAAAGGAGAAACTAAGCAGAATAACAGATGTAAATTTCCAATATTTATAAACTGGGAAATGAAATTCTTAGCTACAATTTGTTACGTTCATTGCTCCTCAAACTTTAAAAATGTTAACAAGCTGTTAGCTCTGTAAAATGCTAAAAACCAGAATTTTGAATGGTAATAAATTCCCGATTCACTACAGTTAATTAAATCTGAATAATAAATAATCGCAAATCTAGTTGGTTAAGCGTTTCAGTCAATGTTTAGTGACAACAAATTGCTGAATTAATGTGACTAAAATATTACGCTTAGTTGCAAATGAACATGAGTGTTTTGTATTTCTGTTTCCACATAGCAAAACCTAGTCTCAACTATTTTACATCTTATGTGATGGTAGTAACTTCATCTTACTATGATAATGCACGAGAATATTAAGTATAATGTTTGTAGCTGCAACACAGTACTAAAATAATAGGCTAAGTATAATGCACTAGCATTTTATATTAATGGTCG